TTTTAATCGCATAGACAACAAAATGGATTAATTCAAACCTCCCCCTCTGGATGCTCCTTACCTGCATGTATTATTCACAATCCAGTATTCGTTGAAGCAATCATTAAACTAAAATATCAAGTCACCTACTTTTTCTAAACATTTTTTCTAATGATGACCATGTATCACTACAAAAATAACCATTATTGAGTACGGACAGATGCACCTTAATTTGGAAAACAAACAAATGAATAACCTAGAATTCAAAGTAGACATAATGTTACAACTATAAGCCATGATGAGAGCTGGGACAAAAGTGCTAGAAATTATAAGGGTTACACATCAAGATCTAATCGCCTAGCTTCACAGTAGAACACCTAGGTCATAGCAGATTAGGGATTTCTATGCACTTAAGTCATACCTTAGATCGGAGATGCCCAGAGGGCCGCTGAAGACCCGTGCCTGCTTGGTGGAGAAGCAGGCGAGGTGACGAGGCCGACGGTGGCGAAGACGCCGGCATAGGGTGGCCGGCGGCTTATCCTGGTTTCAGGAGATGCACCGAGCTAACCTTGACTGGTAGGTTGTTAGGGTGACTAATCATGGTCTTAACACTAATCCACTTAGACACCGTGATCCCTTTCTTATAGCTCAGGCACCCTTGGGACCAGGCCGTTAGCCTTTAGTTTCATTATGTCCATCGGTCATGGACCGTTAGTGGACCATTAAGCCCCTAATGACTCGGACTAAGCCGAGATCGTTCCAACAAAAAGTGCTGTCTTGCTGGACTTGCTGGATACCCTACTAAGTGATACATTCGGTTTCAGTAGCCAGCAACCTACTGTGCTCTCTTGCTGGACACCCTCTCTGTGCAAGCACAGAAAACATAGGAGAGGTCGGAGCCTCGGAGGTGATGGCAATGCTATGGAAGACTAGTGAAGACCAATCATTCATACTAATCAAACTGAAGCGTGACAAATAGATTAGGCCTGAGCAAATTATAGCCTCGGTTCTAGGTGATAATGTGAGCTTTCGATGAAAGGCATTTTTGTGTAGCATTGGAAGTAGCTGTGAAAAATCCAGAGGTTCAGAAATTTTCACCTGTGCTTCTCTATGGAAAATGGGGGCAAAAAAGATATAGAAGTTTGTATTTGATCAACAATAAAGCGTACCTATGTTTATGCAGATGCAAATGCAGAGGTTCAGTTCATCAATTTGCTCAATCAATTAGTAACACTCCTATTTTATACGAAAAATGTATCACACACTTGGTGAATCCTTTGATCATATATTCACACTGGTTTTTAACAAACCTTATCAATTTGTCATGAATGGCCAGAAGGAAAGAAAAACAAAATACTATAGACCATGTGGAACGCACATTTCCATAATTATTTATAGTCATTATTCATTTATGCAGAAACATTTCAAAGCTACAAAGACCTACAAATTGTACAACTAAACTATAAAATATAAGAACCAATTAACCAACAAAACATAGGATTTTTAATTGCATTATTTTTCATGTAAAAATATTTAGCTAATTTTTTCAAATTTATTTTTATGAAGTTTTGGACATTTTTAAAAAAATTATAGTCCAATTTACCTCCCTGAAATTTCAACTTAGTCTGATTTACCCCCTTTGATGTGACCACATCAACAAAACCACCCATATGCAAAAATAAACGGTTATAAAAGTTGAAGGGGTAAACAAAATTTGGTTTTGTAGTTTAGGAGGAAAAATCGGATGACCATGGTAATCGAGGGAGACAAATTGGACTTTGTAGTAGAAGATAGAAGAAGAGAAGTGAGGAAAGGAGAAGAGACGAGAGGACTCAGCAATTCACGAACGGGACTGTGCTCGTTTAGAACAGTCTCATATATACATATGACGTCGTTTTCAATCAAAATATATACATATGACGTAGCCTATCACAACCGTACAATGTACGTACCGGACGTGAATGGCTACTTTTTTTTTTTAACTTTGTGGTCTCTATAGGTCGTGCACTCGTGCTGGAAACTGTACTCCTAATCCTAGGACCGTTTGGAGATCCATATCCACTTTGGGTTTGGAGGCCTCCATGAGTGAGCGTGGATAGAATCATGTGACACCACACCCTATGAGCTGGGCCCATTATCAGTAGATGAGCTGTGCTCAAATCCATACCCCCGCTAGAATTCTGATTCAGTAATGCTCTCCTTCCAGCATCTGTCCGTCCGATGCTCACGTTCGTGGGCCGCAATGCACGCCCAAACGATCCCCTAGTATCCACTCGCCTAACTCTCTGGACACTACAGTTTCTAAAAAAAAAACACCGCAGCAGAGCTCGGCCAGCGCATAGCTCGCAGCGCTCCACCCGCGCAGCTCGCGGTGACCGGCCAGGGTGAAGGCCGCCCGCGCACTTCTTGTGCTCCGGTTGCCCAGCTCACCGTGGCCAGGGGTGGAACTCACTCACGTGCAGATCACCACAGCCCGAGCGGAGCCCGGCCGCATACATCTCGCACTTCGCCTGCCAAGTTCACCGTGGTTAGGGTGGATCTTGGCCGCACGCAGCTCGCGACGGCCGGGATCAAACTCGTCCACACACAGCTCACGGGGGAGCTTACACCGCGCATAGCTTGCGCTCCGCCCGCACAGTGTGGAGACCCGCCGCGGCCTTCTCCGTCGGACCTGCCGCGTCCTTCTCCACGGGAGCGGCGATCTCTGCGCCACCGGCGAGCTCTACACCAGCAAACTCCACACGTCGACGAGCTTCTATTTTCCCAAGCAGCAAGGAGATGTTGCGCTGAAACCACATGTTGCAAGCGTCTGTTCCAAGTGTTTCAAAAGTTTTATAGGTATGTTGCAAGTGTTTTATATCGATGTTGCAAAAATAGATCGGGATGTTGTACATGTTGCAATAGTGTTTCAAGTGTATGTTCGAAATGTTTCATCTGTTTTCAGACGTATGTTGCAAATGTTTTATCTATAATATTGCAAAAGTAGATCTAGATGTTGCATATACATGCATGTTACGAGCGTATGTTCCAAGTCTTTCAGGTGTTTCATATGTATGTTGCAAGTGTTTCATCTGGATGTTGCATATATTTTGCAATAATAGCTACACACGTGTTTTCCTAGTGTCTCGTACGTATGTTGTAAGTGTTTCAACTGTTTTGGACATACATTGCAAATATTTCATCTAGATGTTACATAAGTAGATCTGGTGTTGCACATATTGCAGTAGAACCCACTTGCCGCAGCTGCCTGCTACAGCTGCTGGGCCCGCAGAGGGGGCGCGAGCGACAGACGCGGTAAATGGAGCTGGCGCAGATTGAGACGAGGCCCGCATGGATGCGCGCAAGCGTGGGGAAAACGAAGCAGCGTGGGCCCCACGATGAAGCAGTCGTAGATGTGCTGACAGGCGCAGCAGCATATATACGCGCAGACGTCCAGACGTGAGCGTCCGTCCCGATGTCCTGGCGTTATTCTGATGCGGTGCCATGGTATGCTATTCTGCTCCTTGAGTTGGCCTGCTATGTCCTAGCATCGCTCGCGGATCGACACCAAGTGCCACCTCGTCTGTCACCGGGTCACCGCGATGGCGCGATCGCCTCCACCATGGGATCCAACCTGCACCCGAGCATGCACAGAAGGACTCGGTGAAAACGAATGTTCCACAGAGGCAGGAACCTCTCGTACGGTCCCATGGGTCACCCGGTAAACCAGTTTGGAACACGAGAAGGGGGAAGGAGGTTGGTTGAATGAATTTTTGGAAATTATATCTGAACAGTGAACAACCAACACATGTATCTGTCACTTGGTCACTTACCATGCATGCGGAAGCATGTCGGGTCTTGCCGTATTGGGATTTGGAGGTTTCCTCCTACAGATTTGGCGATTTGCAGGGCTTGGATCAAATGCACGACGGAAGCAATCAGCAGCAGTCCCTGCCCTGCCCAGTGCCCACAGTGACAGTGTCCGTTTCCTACTTGCCTTGTACTGACAATCCATAAGGATGCAAACACATGTGCATACGGGAATTGGGTACTTGGGTTGGGCCAGGTTTGCATTGGATCACGCGCCCACTGCTGGCTCTTGTTTCCTTTTCCCCTCTCCTGATTGAGACCGTTTATTTGGTCATTGCTTCAATCATGTGTGTGCCTTCTCGTTCTGGAAGACGATAGACTGACACCGCCATACCGGGTACTACTACTTGTTGCCATGCCATTGCTGTAGCGCTGTGGACCACGGATGGAAGCAATGCAACTGTAGCGTCGGCAGCAGCAGCAGTGCCCCCCACATTGATCGCTCGCATCATCGGTCCCTGCATGCAGGAGGAGGTACTCAGCTACTCACTCATCACTCGCCACATGCAAAGCTCTGACCAAGTGGCCAGTGATCGATGGACCGTCCCTTAAACCCTACACCCTCCCTCCGTGGTCGGTCGGTCTGTGCTCGCTCTTCATCACGCCACTAACCGCTTTTGATTACCTTGTCATCCCATCTCACCACCTGATATAGGATAGGAGACCATAAAACTTTTTTGAAAGATAGGAGACCATAAACTGGCAGTTAGCTAGGACACTGATCGCTCCGTTTGTTCCCTAGTGTTTCATAAATCATGAGCCAATGAGCCATGCCTGTGTGTGTTCATGCAATCGAAGCTGACAGTCATTTGTGGGCGGTGGGTACAGAAATTGAAGGTGCCAGCTGTTGCTCGGAGGACTGTAAATAGTTCCTCACATGGCCGGAGCAGCAGGGGGACAGATCACAGACGTGTGAGGTAATGGAACAATCTTCTCAGTAACTTGCACTGAGGTCAGGTGAGGTGAGATCAGTCCCAGTCCCAGAGAGCAATGAGTGATCACAGAGCCGCCTCTGCTGCTCCATTCTGCTTCCCTCCGCATCTGCAGCAGCTGCCGGTGGCTGGTGCAGATGCATAATGGCGGTGGAGGAGGAGCGGCGGTGGTACGGCTACTAGCAGCGGCGGCGGCTGCAGGGTTGTTTCGTTCCTGGAGTAGTAGAGCGTCTTGGGCAGATGGGCAAGGCGGGGCGGTGGCTCAGGAACTTGTTCCTGCCCGGCAGGAAGGGGAGGAAGGCCATGGACAGGGCTGCTGCTGACGCCGACTGCCAGTCGGTGCTGTCGGCGCCGCTGCCCTCGCACTCGCAGGCCGCGACAGCGGCACCGTCCGGGAGGGAGAAGAGGCGGTGGAGCTTCCGCCGCCCGGGCGCGGGCGCGTCCGGCGGCGCACAGGGACAGGGCCCGCTCGCGTCCTCGTCGTCGCACTGCTTCTCGGAGGCCGAGGTGCATGTCGTCGTCGTGGCGCAGGAGCAGGAGCAGGAGCAGCAGGTCGCAGTCTCCGCCGTCGTCGTCCCTGAGGCTGCGTCGTCGTCCACCGCGGGCACGGTCGTCGTCCCGCTTCCGGCGTCGGGGAGGAGGAGCGGCGCCGGCGCCGGCGGTCGTGACGCGGAGGCCGCTGCAGCGGTCAGGATCCACGCCGCCTTCCGATCGTACCTGGTACGTTCGTTCTTGGACCGGCGGCGTGCGGTTCTGGGTTCCGGCGATTCTCCGCGTACGGAGTGAAATGTGAAACGGTTGCATTGCGCAGGCGAGGAAGGCGCTGTGCGCGCTGCGGGGGATGGTGAGGCTGCAGGCGATGGTGAGGGGCCAGCTGGTGCGGCGCCAGGCCAACCTGACGCTGCGCCGCATGCAGGCTCTCGTCCACGCCCAGCGCCGCGCGCACGCCGAGCGGCTGCGGCTCCTCGAGGTCGAGGACGGCGCCTCCTCCAGGCAGCAGGCCGCGGCCAGCACCACCACGACGCGGCCGCCGACGAGCCGGCGCTCGCCGCAGCACCCGCGGTCCCGGAAGCCACTGGTGAGCAGAGCACTCACTGCCCTTCTTCAAACGATGGAAGGAATTGGCCAATGCGCGCGGTTGGTTGCGCTGTACTGGTGTGCAGGAGGCGGCGGAGAGGGGTTCGGAGGAGAACGACGTCAGGATCGTGGAGGTGGACGACGGCGCGCCGAGGGCGGGCGCGCGGCGGAACAGCTGCTGCCACTACTCGACGTCGACGACGACGCCGAGCCGCACGCCGGCGAAGGCCGAGCTGCTGTGCCAGAAGGTCTCGCCGACTCCGACGGACGCGAGCGCGCGGACGCTCAGCGGCCGGTTCGACGTCGACGACGCGTCCTTCGCCTCCGCGTCGGAGCCGACGCCGGTGCCGGTGCCGAGCCGGCGCAGGGCGGCGTGGCGCGCGGACCCGCCGTTCTTTCCCGAGCTACATGGCCAACACGGAGTCGTCGCGCGCCAAGGCGCGGTCGCAGAGCGCGCTGAGGCAGCGCCTCTCGTCGGCGTCCGAGACGACGGCGCTGGCGGCCGCGGCCTCGCCGTCGCCGTCGTGCTGGGAGCGCCCGCCGAGCCGGGGCGCGGGTGCGGGCGGGGGCGGGGGCGGGGGAGGGGGCAGCGCGCGGCGCAGGGCGTCGCTCGACCCGCTGGACCTGCCCGGCGGTGGCGCACCGTCCCGGCGCATGGAGCGGTGCGCGTCGCGGGCGCGCGCGAGCACGATGTCGTCGGTCCCCGGCAGCGAGTGCGGGTCCTCGAGCACCATCGGGCATCGTGGCAGCGCGCGCACGGGCCATGGCCATGGCATGGGTGACTACTGACTCTTGTCTTTTCGTCAGTCTAGTGATTTACTCTTGGCGAGTGAGGAGAGACTGAAGGTGCAGGTACTGCAGTGTGTTTGGCAGTAGAAGAAGCTGACGGACCTGAGATAATGGTGTGTTTTGAGTGCCGGCTTTTGTCAGTGTGGATGTAGTAAGCGACGATTTTGTGCTTTTGTGTTTCTTAGGGCCATTATTTGGTGTTGGAGTGAGAGTGATGCTGTCTTGTTTTCAGTTCAGAACGTGATATACTTGCGAAGTGTAGAATGCAACAATCAATTGTTTAGCAAAGGATTGCCATGGCCCAAGCATGGGGCTTACAACAGACAGATGAATCTTTCTGCATCGTCTTCTCCACCTGCAAGTCTGCAACTGCGTGTACTGTCATCTAGTATTGATGGTTACTGCTGGCTTTTTGTGGCCAATCTCATTTGAAAGAGATTTGACTGAAGAAGTCTTTCTCTGACCAAAGTTTGACAACAGACACCAGGCTTCCTAAAAAAGATAAGGTACTCCCTCCTCCGTCACAAAAATATGTACATCCCGTTTTATGAAACTTTAAAATTTAATAAAATACATATATAAAAAAATTCTAATATTTATTATACGTAACAAAATTAGATTACTTGTGAAATATATTTTTATATAAATATATTTGGAGATATAGATGTTTATACTACTTTCTATAAATCAAATTAAGCTTAAAAATTAACTGCTCAAAAGAGGCATTTTCTTTAGGACTAAGAGCAACTCTAAGAGACTCTTTATATCCGTCTTAATTTACTAGTAGTGTGCCCGTAGGGTAAATTACAAAACACGATTCAATTTGTAAAAAATAAAACGAACAAGATAGAACCCACCTCATTTCCACCCGACCCCAAATCAAATGAATTTATTTTCTAGCCCATCCCATCCAGTAAACAACTAATTAACCTATATCTCGCATGCTAAAACCTCTGTTTCACTGTCCCCACACATGAATAGCATGTTGGCTTCCTTCTTTTTCAGAGTGACATGCTGATCAAAGAATGGTTCAACAACAAAGTTATATGAATTGAAGCACATGGTTCAGCAACAAAATTATAGGGATCAAAGGACATGATCCAACAGCAAAATTATAGGGATCAAAGCATATGATTTGCTAAAATATCTGATCCGCGTGGTCATCTACTTTAGAAATGTTCATGTAACCATGTCATACGCTTTAACCCAGATTGCAAATTGGAGCCAAGGTTTTTTTTCTAAAGTTCGGTGCACACAAAGAAGGGCGATTACACATCATCAACGAAGCCGCATCTACATTTAATGGATCAGAAGGATTAGGATATAACATAAGTTTTGGAAAGAAGACCTCAAACACATTGACAAGATCTACAAAGTATCACATAGGTTCGAACCTAAGCCTGCTTTGACATGGTACAAAACAGGAATCTCTAATTGTACAGATAAAGTATGACGAGAATCCATTGCCTGTACATACAAATAATGAAATGCAAAGATCAATCTTATCAAGCATGTCTCCATGTCTAGTTGATGACATCCAAACAGACTAAACTAGACCTTGCATTCATCCAGAAGTGGTTAGAAGATGGATCATTTTTCTTGAGCTAAAGTAGCGGAAGCTAAAGAACACGATGATCAAGAAATAAAAATCTGAACTTTCTGAAAACTCACAACAACCAATTACAATTATTCTTCTCTTGGCAAGAGTCATGGCATGAGATGTGAACTCTAATAAATCAATATAGATAGTTATGAAATAAATAAGCACACCTAATGAATTTAGAGGAACTTCACATCACTCAAGTAATTCTAAGATGGTTCAAGCTCCCTTGATGCTCTGATAATTTCCCATCAATTTCATCAAGTAGACATTCACACATCTATCCAGCACATGATCTGTATGCCAAAAATGTCATGTACTCCTACAAATAGCAACGAACTATCCAAAAAGCAATGCAAAATCACCTCCACAATCTATTTCGAAGTCTAGTATCCCCCATCTCAAGCACAAAAACGTACCTGGGAATGTCTATGACGCACCCAATATGCTTGACCAGTGGATCTGTATTGTCTTAAAAAAACTAGGTTTTGAAAAAGCTAACCCTTGCTCTATCATCCCTAATCTCAAGCACAAAAACGTACCTCGGAATGTCTATGAGGCACGGTTCTTCAGATGGAGCCACCAGGCCGGACTGGTGTCCAACGGAACCCCCGCACCAATCCAATACATGCACCGATGCACGCACGCCCGATGCAATTCTTGGCCGATGCAATTTGATGGTGTTTTCTTGTTTATGATCCTCCCTTTGAAAAGAAAATTCATAAATTGGACCAATATGAATTTCTATGTATCCACACAACCCTAGGAAAACGAAAGGAGTTATCAGTTAAACACTCGACACATTTGTTAGCTTCTCGATTTGTTAGCTTCTCTCATCAGTCATCGTTGAAACTATTGTAGTTTACACCTGAATGAAGCTAAACACACATTTAGCTACAGTGTTGCCAACCAGCCAGGAACTTATGGGGATGGGGGTTTAGACCTGTGGCCTTCAGCGAATTAAGTTTCTTGGGCCTATTCTCATAGTATTGTTGCAGCAGGAAACACTTTCATCCGTGAACCTATACAGGAACAGAAAGATGCAACATGAGTTGCAATGGAGGTAACGGACAGGGCTTCCACTACTAAAATATGCAGAAGGTGTGGAGTCAAAGGGCATTTGATGTTTGAGTGTACGGCGACAGTGTTCTGTGAAATCTGTAGGAGTAATGATCATGCCATGGTTCGGTGTCCGGTCCTCAAACAACCGAAGCCAGTTGTCCCAGCTAGTTGGCCAGGCTGCAGATGCACTTGTTGGGTTTCATATTCCTCATGCTCCTATACAGCTGGCAAAGGACTCTAGAATGGCGCTAGTCTCTACTTCAGGCAAGAATGTGATAGAGGAGGAAGTTGTAGCTTTTTTGTGGGTTTTGGTGTCTGACTCTTTTGCTTGGGAGGTAAAATGGCACAATGGCTTCGAGTTTAAGGTCCTCTTCCCACCAAAAGGGGACCTGACGAAGATGACAAAGTTTAATGCAGAAATGAAAGAGGGGGTCACGCTTAAATTCCAAGAATTTAAGGAGGATGAAGAGTATTATGGACACGCTTTACCGGTGGTCTGGATGTGGGTCATTGACCTTCCAACAATTCTAAGAGAGTTTGTCATCCTTTGGGCACTTGGAACCCTTTTTGGTGTTACACAGGAGGTGGACATGGTAACTACTAGAGCTAGCAACTTTGGGCGGTTTGTAATGGCAGTGCTTGAGCCCGAGGCAATCCCGACTAAACTTGATGTCATCATTGGTAATAGATACTTCCAATTGATCTTTGAGGTTGAACCCTTCTCACCTAATATTGGTCTGCGGAATTTGTGGAACCTACAGAATGATGGGAACAAGGATCATGGTAACGGGGCAGCAAAAGACACCGAGATGAAGGAGGCTCAGAATAATGGGGGCACTGTTGTACCGGATGCGAGTGTTGGAAATGCAACAAACAACAGCTTGACCGGAAACGATGCCAAGGCTCCTGAGGCTCAGATGGACTATGATTGGTCAAATGATGATCTGCTAGGAGAGGAGAATGATCTTAGTGAGTCTGCACGTAATTTTGTAGGAGTTCAAAACGGACAACCGGTGAATGGAGGAATGCTACAACACTTGCAGCGACAGGAGCAGCGGGAGCTTTCTCAGCACCGACACGTATGGTTCATCAACTCTCGCAGATGCCTAGGGCGCCCGGGCAGTCAGTGATCTCAGCCGATGGGGATGTGGAGATGGGAGGTGCCACCGGCCGCCACAGCAGCCTACATTGACGGCTACTGTAGCAGAAAGGGAGCAGCAGGAGACATCCTCTTCCTAGCAGCAGTCTTCCCTGTGGGGCAGGATGATGGGGCAGCAGAAGGGGCGCTTGCTAATGGCGCTCAACACCTCGGCATTCTTCTCGATGCTATCCTAGAGGCTGGAGTGGCAGCTAATGGTGGGTCAGAAAAGAAGTTGGGAAGTGTCATGAAGATGGCGATTCTGTCAGACGGGGAGCTGACACCAGTACGACGGAGCAAACGGAATGCAGACGTGGCGGATGTGGGTTCTCGGGAGAAGGCAGAAAAAAGAATTGATGTCAAGAACCTCAAGGAACCACAAGGTAATTTACATGTTAAATCATTTTGTTCATTTTCTAATGTTTGTATTGAGGAAAACTTAGGGGGAGTGGGCATAAGTTTGGGTGACAAAGAAAATTGATTACTGGTTCTATTGATCTTTTAAAAAATGTTGAAAATGATAGACTGAAACCATCTATATGTTCAAGCAAAAATGAGAATGAAATTGAGTCTTAGGGAGGATGAGATCGATCCTGACACCTTCACCATAAGTCGACTCTGTGGCGACTTAACGGAAGAGGTGATGGATGATAATAGTGCGGACCTAGATGGGGTATCGGTAGATGTACCCATCAAGGTGGCAAAGAGCAAAAAGAAAAAGAAACTCAATAAGAATACGGTTGCAAGGAAAAAATAGTTTTCAATGAAATGTGTGTTTTGGAATTGTAGAGGTCTGCGTGACCTAGCTAAACATAATTTTTTTTGCATGATGTGGCTGGGGATAATAACCTTGATTTTATAGCACTTTTAGAGACCAATAAAAATAGCTCATCGACTCAGTGTTTAGAGAACTTTTGTGCGGGGGCTAATTTTATTTGGCATTGGAGGTGTCCTTGGGGCATGTCCGGGGGATGCTGATGGGTATAAATCATGGTTGTTTTGAAGTACAGAGTATTGAGGATGGTGATTATCATATCAAGTTTATCATTAAAAATAAAACAAATGGTTATCGTTGGGCTCTTTTATTTGTATATGGGGCAGCATAGGAAAAGCACAAAGAACACTTCTTATCAGAGTTAGTATGAGCCTGTACTACTGTGGGGATCTCCCCTTCATAGTAGGGGAGATTTCAACATCATT